CCCCTCAGGCTCTCAAAGTACCTGCTGCCCAGTCAACTGGCTGGAGTTCGAGGGCAGCTGCTACTGGTTCTCGCGCTCCGGGAAGACCTGGCCGGAGGCCGAGAAGCACTGCCGGCTGGAGAACGCGCACCTGGTGGTCGTCAACTCCAGGGAGGAGCAGGTGAGCGCCTCAGTGCCGGGGTCCCCTTGAGGGCAGCGGTTCTCAACCTCGGCCGGGCCGTCGGAATCCCCGAGGGGGCTTGGTTGAGCTCTGTCACCCGCTGAGCCACTCCCAGAAGTTTCATTGGCCGGGGGCATCGGGGCAACCGCCCCCAGTGTCCCCCAACGGGCTGAATGGACACGTCAGGTTCAGAACTGTGAGCCCAGGGAGTAGGCTGGGCTGGAGAGAAGTCACCCTTGCCCTTCTGTCGCCCCAGAACTTTGTGCAGGAACATATAGGCTCCTTACACGTCTGGATGGGCCTCAGTGATGCCGAAGGAGTCTGGAAATGGGTGGATGGGACGGACTATGCGACCAACTTCAAGTGAGTGTGGCCTGGCTTTCTGTGACCCTCTGCCCCCTTCAGCTCCTGCCCCTCCGGGGTCTGACCCTCAGTCCCTTGTCCCCGAGCCTGGGTTCTGGGCCCTCTGGCCATTGTCCTCTCTCCGCAGGAACTGGAGGCCGGGCCAGCCGGACGACTGGCATGGGCACGGGCTGGGCGGGGGCGAGGACTGTGCCCACTTCCACCCGGACGGCTGGAACGATGATGTCTGCCAGAGACCCTACCGCTGGGTGTGCGAGGCCCGCCTGGGCGTGGCCGGCTAGCGCGGTGGCCGGGCGCTGCCCGCGGGCCACCCGGCCACCAAGCTGCAGGGAGTGGGAGGGGGCCTTCCCCTGAGACCCCTGATAGGACCCCATGGGACAGGACTGAGCCCTGGGAGTTTGGGTCACTGCCACCATTTTGAATGTTACCCTCCTTGGTGTTCAAAAGACCATCTAGACTTCCTTCAGGTGTTTGTTTGTTTGTTTTAATTTCAGCTTTACTGAAGTATAATCGACCCACCAAACTGCAAGGTGTTTGAGGTGTGCATCATTGCGATTTGATGTTCGTATACACTGTGAAAGGGTCCCCCGTGTGGTTAATCACCTCGTGGATCCATCGCGTGTGTGTGTGTGTGTGTGCGCGCGCGCGAGAACACGCGAATCCTACTCTCTCAGTAAATCCCAATTATACGATAGTGTTCACGACTAGCGACCGTGAGATCCTCAGACCTTAGTCATCCCGTAACTACGACTTTGTTTGTTTTTTTTTTTTTAATTTTTTTTCAACGTTTTTTAATTTATTTTTGGGACAGAGAGAGACAGAGCATGAACGGGGGAGGGGCAGAGAGAGAGGGAGACACAGAATCAGAAACAGGCTCCAGGCTCTGAGCCATCAGCCCAGAGCCCAACGCGGGGCTCGAACTCACGGACCGCGAGATCGTGACCTGGCTGAAGTCGGACGCTTAACCGACTGCGCCACCCAGGCGCCCCATCGTAGCTACGACTTTGTACCGTTTAACCAACCTCTCCTTACCAACCACCTCACTCCCCAGCCCCACCAGCCTACTCTCTGTTTCTATGAATTTGATCTTTTCTTTTTGTTTTTTGATTCCACATATAAACGGTACCATGCGGTATTCGCCTTTTCTCTGGTTCATTTCACTTTGGCGGAACGCCCCCAGGGTCTATCCCTATTGTTGCAAACGGTAGGCTTCCCTTCCTTCTCACGGCTGAACACGGTTCCGTTATATTATCTACACCACATCTCTATCCGTTCATCCGTTGACGAACATGCAGGCTGTGTCCATATCTTGGTTATTGTGACGAACGCTGCGGTGAATATGGGGGTGCGGATATCTCTTTCGTACTCTGTTTTCATTTCCTTTGGGTATATGCCCAGAGGTGACACTGACGGATCACGTGGTCATTCTATTTTGAATTTTTGGGGGCAACCGTCATCCTATTTTCCACGGTGGCCTGCACCGATCCACATTCCCACCAACAGGGCACGATGGCCCTCTTTCTCCACAGCTTTGCTGACGTAAGTTTTTGTGTTAAACCTTAAAAATCAACCTTATCGAGATATAATCCTCACACGATATAACACACCCACTTAAGGAGTAGAGATGACTTCTGAAACATGTAAATACCTCAGTAACGTCCACGCAATCCAGGTGCAGAGCATGTCCGTCAGCCCAAAGTTTCCTTACGCCCTGCTTCCTTTATCTCCGGGTGCTAATATTTATGATCTGCTTTTTTTCTCTATTGATTGGTTTCGCCGATCCTAGAATTTCACAGTATATTGTTTCGTGAAGCCATATGTATTTCATATTGCCTGATTTTCAGCAAACTTTCTTTTTTAATTGTTAAAACTTGTTTATTTTTGAGAGAGAGAGACAGAGACAGAGACAGAGCACCAGTGGGGGAGGGGGAGAGAGAGAGAGAGAGACATAGAATCCGAAACAGGCTCCAGGCTCTGAGCTGTCAGCACAGAGCCTGATGTGTGACTCGAACCCGGGGACAGTGGGATCATGACCTGAGCCGAAGTTGGATGCTTAACCGACTGAGCCACCCAGGTGCCCCAATCTTTTTTTTTCTTCTTTTCAATGTTTTTTTATTTCTGAGAGAGAGAGCGGGGAAGGGGCAGAGAGAGAGGGAGACACAGAATCCGAAGCAGGATCCAGGCTCCGAGCAGTCAGCACAGAGCCCAAAGTGGGGCTTGAACTCACGGACTGTGAGATCATGACCTGAGCTGAAGTCGGACGCTCAACGGACTGAGCCACCCAGGTGCCCCTTCAACAATCTTAAAATAGGAAAATGGAGAAAGTTAGGTGAGGCCTTGGAGAGTCCTATGTTATCGTAAAACGGCATTTCCTTTTTACATACAGTTGAGTTCAATTCTTTTCTCTTGCTTAAAAGCTGCATAAACCTAGGGTGATTAAAAAAAAAAAAAGGCAATTATTTAATTTCTTTGAAGAGCCCAGAGTTGGGGAAATGTTGCTTAGATGCCCAGGTGTATTGGTTAGCTATTGCTGTGTAACATCCATCCCAATGCTCAGTAGCTTAAAACAATAAACATTTATTATAGCTCATGAGTCTAGAGGTCATCTGGATGGTTTCTGGTCTGGCCAGAGTCGCCCACGCATTTGTGGTCAGCTGGCGGGTTGGCTGGGAGCTGGCTGGTCTAGGATAGCCTCACTCCCATGTCTGACATTTGGTTGGCTCTGGGCTGGGACAGCGTGGACGTCTGGATCGTGTTAGGCTGGTCTGGGCTTCTTGGCACAGTGTTTGGGCTGGTTTCAAGAGAGTAAGCGGAAGAGTACAAGAACTCTGGACTCTCAGTTCTGGAAACGAAGCATCTCTTCTGTTTCAGGCTATTGGCCAAAGTAGATCACAAGGCAGCCCACGTTCAAGGAGGTGGAAAATAGGGCTTTTGATTGAAGGAGCTGCAAATCCTATCGTGGAGAGGACAGATACCGTGATGGGCGGAGATTGCTGTTTTTGTGATCGATCTAGCTCACCATCTCAGCCACAAAGAGCCAACATCTCACTAAAGACTCCCACGAAAAGAGAGGGCAGGATCCATTGATTGCTAGATTCCCTCCACCGAGAAACCTGCCTGCACATAGGAGGATTTCTTTATTTTTTAAATATTTTTTTAATGTTTATTTACCCTATTTCATTTTTTTCAGAGGGAGAGAGACAGAGCATGAGCAGGGGAGGGGCAGAGAGAGAGGGAGACACAGAATCCGAAGCGGGCTCCGAGCTGTCGGCACAGAGCCCGCTGCTGGGCTCGAACCCGCGAACTGTGAGGTTGTGACCTGAGCCGAAGTCGGACGCTTAACCCACTGAGCCACCCAGGTGTTCCAGGAGGATTTCAATTAGTATTAATTAAAGTCAAAGAGGGTGGTGTCAAAGGGAAGGCATGGGAAGGGCCAAGTTTAGCTCTGGGGAGGCAGCCCGCTTCCACTCCTCCCTGCCCGCATCACTTGAAAATCATCAGGCTGGAGCCAGGGGGGTCTTGGTAGGAAGTGCTCTGAGGACAGCAGGAAGTGATGGGGTCCAGAGGGCACCGCCCAGGGTGGAAGAGGTTACATAAGGAGCATCGGTACCCAGCTGGTTCTGTGGGCACCAAATACTGCGACCCAGGGGGGCCAAACGCACAGAACATTAAAACAACACCAATAATATTGCAAATATATTGCAAAAAAGAGTCTGAGGCTTAATGGACTGAGCCACCCGGGTGCCTCTTTTCAGTTAATGTCTTTCTCCACCGCTTGGATTTTCTAACTGCATGAAGCGTATTTTTTTTTTTTAATTAAGAAAGACCAATAAACATATGACATTGAAGAATACTAGTGAGGGGGCACCTGGGGGGCGTCAATCGGTTGAGGGCTCGACTCTTGATCTCGGCTCAGGTCACGATCTCACGGTTCTTGAGATTGAGCCCTGCTTTGGGCTCTGCCCTGACAGCATGGAGCCTGCCTGGGATTCTCTCTCTCTTCCTCTCCCTCTGCCCCTCCCCTGCTCACATGTGCATGCTCTCTCTCTCTGTCTCTCTCAAA